GATACGATGATAATGGTGTAACTTGTTAAAATAACAATTTATTTTTTAAACATGTTTTTATTGATATACGATTATATATGTTAATTTGACAAATGTTTAAAATGAAACATTTAAAAGTAAATGACATAAAGTAAATTAATTAATTAATTATAGGAGTATAAAGTGTAAATTTATTGTGAGAGGGTGATTGTATGTGAGGAGTGAAAAAGTGAAAAAGTGAAAAAATGAGTATAAATGATATTTTGGTCATTTAGAATTTTAAGACTTTAAAACTTTTGCTAAATTTGCTTAATAAGATAATATAGTTAATTTTTATTAATTTGATGTATTATAATTTAATTTTTACTCGTTTTCTTTCTAATATATATATTATTTAATGGTAACGTATAGAAAAACATACCTCTTTATGTAATATATTTCATCCTTAAATAATAAAAACATCACATGAGAAAACAAAAATATTGTAAATATAAACAAGTTGTAATTAAAAACATCACCAGTAAACAACAAAGTTTTATTTCATGCAATGAAATAATATGACGTCGCCAAGGTGAAACAATTTTGGGGCTGTTTCAGAATGTAAAAACAAAACAAAGCTGATGTGAAACATTAAAGTGTTCTTTCATATTGTGAAACAATGTAATATGTTAATGTAAAACAATAAAGTACCGTTTCAGAATTTGAGAACAAAAAAAGAAAACAAAAGTTGACATGAAATGCGCCTTCATCATGTCAAGTTTCAGGCAACCGATTGGCTCCAAAGGACTTCAAGGAGAGCTGGATGCATCCCTTTGGTCTACCTAAACCACTTTCTTAAAATATGTTTTATTCATCGAATAGCGCTATTGGGTGATGGTCCCGTTTATAGGGTCAAATCAATGACGCGAAACACAACATTGCTAATGCGAAATAATAAGGTGTTATTTCACATGATGGAACAATATAGTATTATTTCACATGATGAAACAATGTATGTCGTTTCACAATGTGAAAAGAAACCAAAACTGACGTGAAATGTGATGTGAAGCACTAAAGTGTTGTTTCACTTTACGAATTAAATCACTTTTATTGTTTCATATGAAAATTGTAATGAAAAAACAAATAACAAAAAATGTTAGTACTAGTGTCAAATTAAAAAGAATAAAAATGCATGTTTTTTATATAATTTTTTGATTTAGAATTGTACTGATTAATATTATTTTTTATTTATAAAGAAAATGATATTAATTTAAATCTAAACCATATAATNTTATATAATTTTTTGATTTAGAATTGTACTGATTAATATTATTTTTTATTTATAAAGAAAATGATATTAATTTAAATCTAAACCATATAATTTCATTAAAAGATAGAAAGGAAAGAGATTTATGAGATATAAGTGTTTTCCCAATATAGTCAAAAAGAATATTAATCTTGTAGTTCTTAACCATTTGTGTTTTCCCAATAGAAGTAATCTTAAGGGGTAGTTTATCAATATTTTTAGTTAAGTGCTGATTCAGGTAAGATATCTGACTGTGGTAAGAGGTCTGACTGGAGTAAGTGCATATTGGATTTCTTGTTTACCAAACATTTTGTGTTAAATGCTGATTGAGTAAAAAAATTATATCCCTCTTTCTGAAGTAAATGTTGAATGAAAGTTATTGTTATTTATCAAAAATTTTAAATATAATTCTAAATTCTTTTTTGCTTACGAAAATATATTGATACTCAATATATTAACATATTACAGATTTTCATAATTTAGAACAAAAAGTCAAAATTTCTAAAAGCAAAATCACCACCAAAACAAAAAAGACCAAAATAAGGACCAACAAAGGAAATAACAACAAACCATCAACAACGAACAAAAAGTCATTACAAGCCTTTAACATAATTGTTTGCGTACAAATAGTTCGCTTGCAGATATTAATTTCAAGCATTCAACATTAATTGATTTGCAATCCGATCACACAAATCAGTCATATATTCATTGCCTTGGGGACCCCATTGTGTTTCTCCAACATCTTCCTCGATGCTTTCTTCCTCGATTCCTTCATCTTGTTCTTTGATGGTAAACATGTTTTCATCATACTCCATAAACAATCGATCTTGAATATTGCATCTCCTTATAAAATTGTGAATTGCGAAACAAGCAATCACCACATCTTTTTGTATTGTTAAAGGGTAATGAGTCATTTATCTTAAAATTGGAAATCTTGCTTTCAAGACCCTGTATGCACGCTCGATGACATTTCTAAGTTGTGCATGAACATGATTGAACCGTTCTTCCTTAGTCAAGGCACGTCGGCGTCGAAAACCAATACCTTGTATTGTGATAGGGGGTCATAAATCCACGAGTATTGGTATATGCGGCATCATAAAGATAGTATTTACCTGCAACCACAAAATACAATTTAAAAGTATAAAACATAACGAGGTTTAAATGTTAAGAAAAAAATGAAACATACTTGGTGGAGGAAACAGAACTCCTGAAGTTGGGTTACATGCAACTTCTGTCAGAACTCGAGAATCATGTGCAATGCCTTCCCATCCAGCCCAAACAAATGTGAATATCATATTAAAAACACAAACCGCTAAAACATTTTGATAGCATTCACCTCTTCCTCTTCCTTAGACCTAGCTTGTTGACTAACGAGCACAACTACATGTACCAAAGTAAATCTAGCGCACCTATAGCCCCTTTTTTATGAAATAGAAAACATTAGAAAGTATTTATATATGTTAAGAATATTCAATATATCAAGAAAAACATACCTAAAATGTTTCTTTGAGTCATGTAAATCGTTTTGACGTGTTTGGGGTTCCATCAAGGGATGTTGACTCCTACGACTTCTCTCGCAAATTCCATCATTCCTTTTAGTACTTCATGAAAACAATTATTAATGGTTCACGTAGAGTGTTAAAATCTTCATTTAATCATTCTAAAGCGTTCATTGTGACAATTATTGTAAAAAATATGGCCATTTTCTCTTCGATGCTCATATACCTACTTGAGTGCACCCAATTTTTTTCTTTAAAGTAATTGCATAATAATATGTATGCATCACGTGACAAACGCATCAATTCATGACATTACGTATTTGATCCACTTAACAATTCTTGTGTATACGCATGTCCGCTCAATGCTGAAGTGTTGTCTCTTATCCTTTCTATTCTTGACGAAGATTTTTTTTCAAATACAAATAAACAACCACCACAATTAGAATTAACTTGTTCCTGTCCATAACCTTGCAATGCAAAACACATATAACATTAACCGTCAAGAGTCCATACAAAGACCAAAACATCTTCCAAAATTCAAATGAAAAGGACAACATCATCTTTAAAGATAACATTGATCATAACATTCATCGATAAAAGTTATATAAAAGCCAACAAACATCTTCCAAAGGCCAAACAACGACAAACATCTAATGCACATATAAACCATTCAAGGCTTCAAAAGAGCGCATCAAAGTATCTAATATTCATACAAACCATCTAAGGTTTCAAAAGTGTGCATCAAAAAGTTTAATACACATATAAACCATCTAAGGTTTCAAAAGAGCGCATAAAAATATCTTCTTCTAATGTCTAAACAAACATCGCAATAATTATATAAGCCCAAGTTGACGTCCCGTGAACTTAACCCAACCCTCACACTTATCCTCCTTCAAACACAACCAAATCTTCATATAGTCAGGGCCTAGACTAAAAAGATGAAGTGTTTTCTCATACAACGGGCTTCCCCACCCAAATTTCTCCAGTTTTTCAATGCAAGCACCCACCTCAGATTACATGGGTTGTTTGTCCAAAGCATTTTGCACAGAAGTGACAACCTTAGACACTTCCTCATCATTTACTGAACTGCTGGGTTGAATTCTTTTTCGTTTTTTTCTCTGAGATTGAGAATGCGAAGAAGACTCTTTGTAAGAACCCACACTTTGACATACAGATAATCCACATGGTATTACTCATAACATCGAATGTAATA